CGTTATGTTGCTATATCCCATAAATTCCAATGTGAAAGTGATTATTATTATTTTTTTTTACAAAGAATACGGATTGAAACTTCATTTTCAGTTTTGACACAGGTCATCTATTTACCCATAATGGATAAAATTAAGATAAGCCAAATATCCTAAGGCAACAGCGTTTTTTTTTTCATTTCTACTGACTACTAAAACGTCTCTAGACCTACGTAAAACAATGGCAAAATGCAAATTACTGGTATATTTTCTGATATATTCTGCAATATTCGCCAAAATCTCCCAAAGATCAGTATCAAAATCATCAAAAGAAAAATGTTAAATCTCCATTTCTTTAGTAGACAAAAGAATAAAATGATTAAATATAGAGATGTAGTGCGACAGCCTATAGGGAAATTATAGATGAACTTTGGCACAGATCTTAAGATATGTAATATTAATACAAGACGTTTAAATTTAAAATAAATTTACATAAAATTCAATGTAAATAGTTAAATTTTACATTATTAATGTATTATTATTTAATTAGTCTACTTTTAGAAAAGTGCAGCCAAACACTAGAACATATCTTCTCTGCACACTGTTCGAGTAAAATACTGGCTTGTTATACACTTCCTGGTAAAAAGAAGAGGAAAATAAAATAATGAAAAAAACTAAAAATCCAATTCAAATAAATAGAAATTTGTTTTCCAGGAAAATAACTGAAATGTACTTTACTCAGACTCGGTTAATTTACATAATTGTATAAACCAAATGACGTTTTATATTAAATTCTACAAGCTCAATTATGATAATTCGAATAAAACTCGGCATAAAGAAATCGTTGGATTATTATCATCATTATTATTTTAAAATAACTGCAAAAATTGTTTAATAAAAAACAAAAAAAATAATCAACATTAAAAGTATGCAGCTTGAATGTAGTAGGAAAAATAATGAATCTGTACGAATTAAATATTGTCTGGATATGAAGATAATTATAAAATTTTAAGGAAGAATAAATATTTGAAATTTGACAGAATTAACGTATAAATTAAGGTATAATATGTAATTAAGTAGGAGAGAATATGACAGGAGCAGATCAAAGTTTACACGATCGTAACTTGTTAGATATTATGTGATGTAACTAACAAATATCTTCCATCCGTCTATTGAGCTATCAAATGAGGAGATTATCTAAAACGAATATCATCATCATCATCATCATCATAGCAAATTTCTATATAATCTCACTTTATTTATTTAGTAAATAAAAGCTATTTAAGTCTCTCCTTTCGCGATACTAAATTTATTAATTAGAAGTAAGAATATAAATACAGTAAATTAGATTTTGATTTTCTAAACGAATTATGAAGAGCGTGAATAAGTTTGTTTACATAATTACGAATTATTCGATTTTTTTGAAGTCATTTTAATTAATTAAGGATAATGTATCTTCCCTTAATCGAGTTGTTTCAAATATCTTCGTTTTTTGATGAAATTTATTTTATAAAACTAAGTGTTTTCGGAATTTCAATATAAAATTTATGCAAACGATTGTTAACCGCGTGAATTTTTTATTCAGGATTTTGTGAGTTTTTGTCGTCTTAAAGTTTAAGTAAAACTAAAAACTCTTAAGAGATTCTACTGAAAATCCTTCTAAACTCTATTACTAAGATTACAAAAACTCGTTGTTGTAGTTTTCTCGTAAAGCAAAGAAGTTTGACAGAGAAACGGATGTTGAGGATAAATGCCAGGAAAATTTACTACTTTCTATTGCATACGCTGCAACGAATTTCGATAGAGTTTAGCGATTAATAACTAATCAAACTCGAAAATTTCTCGCAAAAAAAACTTTTTAAATTATAATTTCCAATCTTTCCTCTCTAAATTTTGGCGCTTTATATATATATAAAAATGTTAATTAAATTTCTTATGACTGCTGTTTATATATAAATATTATAAAGTCTCTGTAAATCCGCACGAAAAATATATAAATTTTCGGTTTAGCGGTAGACCATCACACAGCAGATAGCTAATTACTTCTCTTTATTTAATCACTGTAATGCATTTCGGTCCTATTAAAGAACCCTCTTCAGTACTACAAAATATAAATATTATAATAAACCTTATGCGAGTAAAACTACCAATGTAACAATTAATATTTTAGTTTTTCATTACCATTTAGGTACACAGCTTGGATTCACATTTCATTAGCACTTTCATATCAAGTGTATTTAGTAACGTTTTCTGATTGTCTATGGTCGTATTTCTAAACTACTATAATAAATATTATTCTAGATTAAAACATTATCTATAATTATACACAACAATTCCAAATTTTAAAAAATCATTCCAAAAAATTTTAAAAAATAAATTTTAAAAACATTTTACATAAGATTCTTAAAATTGTGATTAAATATAACTTATAAAATTTAATTTTTAAGTAACATACCGTTTACAATAAATCATACTCTAGGCTTCTGTTCAACGGTCCGTCGTTGGTACAATTCTAAATGACACACCCCCTTTGACTATTCTACGTCATGACATCATCTGTCAATTTCCTCTACTACAGAATACCATCTTTGATCTATTTGCATTCCGTTAGATACATTTATTAATTGATTGTTATTTTTATTATTATATTTCATTATTTCAACATGCTCTTTAAATTTTCTCTTATAAATATTCTTTTCATTATGTAATATTTGTACATTATTTTTATCTAATTTACAATTATTATTCTGAATTACGTGATTATACCATGGTGAATTATTATTTTTTAACCGTATAGCGGCCTCATGTTCTTTAATACGTTTTTCTAATTTACGACCTGTTTCACCTAT